AAAAATAAGATTGTTGCAAGGGCGGATCCAGCCAAAATTGGGGGGGGGAGGGGGCTAATTGAGTTTAGGAGGATCCGCCTTTGAGAATGTCAACTGACTGAATCATTGAAGCGTTCCCCAAATGCGACGCATTTTTACGACTACGGAAAGGCTAGATAAGTTTAATTTCGTATGACTGTAAAAGCTCGCGGCACGAACGCGTGTGCCAGACCAATCATATTGCACCAGAATTTTACTCTTCATCCAATCAAAGCCAAGAAACAAGGACACGTTGAAAGAGCAGAAATTCAGCAAATTAAAATTCTAGAAAACATCACGGTCGCGGCAAGGCACGCATACGGCACTGACTTTTTCACAGTCATACGAAAACTGCTCATACTCACCTATTAAACAACTTTGCTATGTACAGACATCGATGAATGTGTACTGGGTACCCATGTGTGTCACGTGAATGCCACGTGTTCCAATACCATCGGAGGTCACCAATGTTTTTGCAAGAATGGTTTCCAAGGCAACGGCTATACTTGTAATGGTAAGGTATCTTGAAGATCAAAACATAAGATGTAGATCTATATGTAAATTTCGAAATTATCATAGAATAATGGCTTTGCACCATCATTACGCGAGAGCCGAGGAGGGCTATTACAAATTAGTGCAAAGTTTTGTAGGTCTACGGTCTACAGATGGTTTCCAACCATTCCCAAGAGAATTAAATAACTAAGGACACGGCGGCCATGTTGGAGGATATAACAAAAGAATTCATTGACAATTCTTTTGTTAAATTTCTCCAACATGGCTGACGTGAAAACCATCAATTTAGGCCTACTGAACTTACTAATTTGTTAAAATTCTTGTGCAAAGTTTTTCAATTTCTTATAAAGATTTTCACGGATATATTGTGTGTACTCTAGTCCATTTATCTCACCTGATGAACTAATATGATAACCATCTTTGCTATGTACCCACAGACATCGATGAATGTGTACTGGGTACCCATGCGTGTCACGTGAATGCAACGTGTTCCAATACCATCGGAGGTCACCAATGTATTTGCAAGAATGGTTTTCAAGGCAATGGCTATACGTGTAATGGTAAGGTATCTTGAAGTTCAAAACATGAAATGTAAATTACTGTGCGGACACACTAACCTGGAACACTTGAATAAAACCGAACAATCAGRTAACAATAAACTAGACAGACATTGAACTGATAACAGCGATAGCCAATCAGATAATCACGTTCTCACGCTCTTATCATATTGATGTGCTATCCGATTGGCTGTGACGTTATAAAAATATTGAACTAAATGTCGCAATATGATTGGTTATTGATACTAGTTTATCTAAGTTGTCCCGGTTGGAGTATGCGCACGGTCAATGTATGTATATTAGCGGACGAACCATTAGATTTATTAGGGCGGGGTTGGGGGGTTGGGCAAAAACCCCAAAAGAATTCGAGCAAAGCTTTAAAGAGGAAAAAAAAAACATGCATAAGAAAAGTGCTAGAAAAAAATCCAGATTATGTCCAAAAAATTCCTGCACAAAATAAATTGCCCATGCCTTTCCCCCACAAAAATCTAATGGTCCGTCCCTTATATATGAAATACTTTGTTTGCTGGCATGACGTTATAGCCGCTACGTTGGAATAATTTGACAAAGGATTTGTTTCAATAAATTCATTTGTTGCATCTTCCAACATGGCGGCTATGCTTTTGTTGGTTACAAGTTCATGATCTAGAAACACTAGAACGACAATAGAAGACAAGACAATGTAAACAATATAAAACATTACACTACTATACAATAATATATGTATTGTATCCCACTAGAACATGAACTGTGGGTTTTACTTAATTAATTATCCCATATATATGTGAAAATGTTCACAATTGTACAAATTAGTGCAAAGTTTTGTAGGTCTACACGGTCTACTGAGGTTACTAAATTGTGAAAATGTATGCAATTTCTTACAAAGCTTTTCACGGATATATGGCATGCACTCTAGTTCATTTATYTCACCTGAACTAGAAAGAATTTATTTAACCCATGAAAAATAGTACGCATAATAGTTAGGAGTAACCTCTAAACCCATTGCTTTCTTTTCTTTTTTTCTTTTTCATCAACTAGTACTATTAAAATAGTCATTTTTCTTTGCTGGTTAAACGAAATCACTTTCTAATAACCATCTTTGCTATGTACAGACATCGATGAATGTGTACTGGGTACCCATGTGTGTGACGTGAATGCAAATTGTTCCAATACCATCGGAGGTCACCAATGTTTTTGCAAGAATGGTTTCCAAGGCAACGGCTATACGTGTGATGGTAAGGTATCTTGAAGTTCAAAACATGAAATGTAAATTACTGTGCGGACACACTAACCCGGAACAATTGAATAAAACCGAACAATCAGATAACAATAAACTAGACAGACATTCACAGCGATAGCCAATCAGATTATCGCGTTCTCACGCTCTTATTATGCTGATGTGGTATCTGATTGGCTGGTTRAAAATATTGAACTAAATGTCGAAATATGATTGGTTATTGATATTAGTTAATCTAAGTGGTCCCGGTTGGAGTATGCGCACAGTAAATGTATTTATTATATGGCAAGGTAATTTCACGCGCTATGATTGGTCAATTTGCGGTCCATAACTTACGGTACGGACCGAAAAATGAAATGGTTCACTGAGTGTACATACTTATCATCTTTTAAAACATTCAAAATCTTCGATATAAAAAAATATTTCTAGATGAATTTCGTCGGGAAACCTTTATAAATTATTTAAAGTTAACTGAAAGTCACTGCCATTTAATGTAAAACGTACTATCATAACAAGCGACAACTCTTTTGATCAAGGCTCTACATGACACTTGCTGAGCGATTTTGTACGACTAGAAAAACTAAAACTAGGTGAAACTACGAACTAAAGAGTGGTGAATAGCGGCTAATACAGTAAATGAAATTAAGATAGTTTTACAAGAAGATGAATTAATGTAAATTTGTCATATCAGTGAGCTAACACAACGTCAAGTTTGAACTTATCTGAATCGATCGGTTGAAGAAGCCAGTTGTTTATTTCGTTAACGCCGTCGGTTTTATCCAGTTTTCTAGGCTCATCTGCTCTTGAAGGAATTTCCAAATTTCAGGAATATTTCATCCACACTTGAATTTGAATGCATTTGTGGACAGGAGAGTGGGCACTATCTTTTTTAAATCAGTCGAAGGTGTGTCTTCATGGCTTCAGCCATTGTGCATATGGCGGCCTGCTTCAAACAGTCAAAACGTTGAAAAATGACGAAAAACTATCCACGTTCAGCGAGCCGTAATTTTTCAAAGCTTCTCATTCATTTCTGGAGAGATTTTGAGTTTTTTTATATATTTTTTTTCACAAAAAAAGGACATGAAAACAAACGGAAGGATGTAGCATTTTTCATCTTGGTTATGCATGTTTTGACTGAGTCTAAGAAGAAGTTGGAAGTACGACAGTTTTCTTCTCAAGCAAACGTTGATTTCTTGAGGTCTTTTGATGCTTTTTCTGCTTTGCAATCACATGTTTTGCCAAGTATTAGCCAGTATTTCAGAAAACTTTAAACTATAGCTAAATTCATTCAAGTATAAACTAAGACCTTTCTTTCTGAGCGACTCAAACATACATGACTTTTGCACGTAAAGAAAGCCCTTCCAATGCAGTTCTCGTTTGGCATGCGCTGTCAATTTTACTTTATATTTTGTTACTCCGCCTTTTTTTAATCTCAATGCCTTGCCATATAATAAATATCTTATGAACCTCGATTGCTCGGTCTCAATCCTCGTTTTTTCCACTTTTTTTATGGCGCGCGCGCTACGCGCTTGAGACATATGGCAGTGAAAAAAACTCGGTCCATGACTTACGATACGAGTCGAGCAAACGAGGTTAATAAGAACTATGTAGTACACTCTAAATCCATTGTTTTCAACTAGAACTAACTAAATACTCATTTTTCTTTCGCGGGTTAAACAAAATCACTTTCTAATAACCATCTTTGTTATGTACAGACATCGATGAATGTGTACTGGGTAYCCATGCGTGTCACGTGAATGCMACGTGTTCCAATACCATCGGAGGTCACCAATGTGTTTGCAAGAATGGTTTCCAAGGCAACGGCTATACGTGTGATGGTAAGGTATCTTGAAGTTCAAAACATGAAATGTAAATTGAATGTATATTTCGAAATTCCTATAGTATAGGTTGCTATCAATAGACGTCACTTCCGGTAATAGCTCTTTTTTGATGGCTTGTAGAATCCTGGAGGTTGTTTTGATCTCTTGTTTTCTGATTTGATGTCGTGAAAATAGTCAAATACAATAGTTTGAGGACTTATTTTGACATGTTTTGATTTAACATTCGCTAGTTGCCCCCCAGTCAACCGCTTGTTTGCCCCCCAGTCAACTCCAAAAAGTCACGTGATTGCTAGTAAGCAATAGGAGGCTTTGCGCCATCACGTGATGGTAGCCAGGAACAATAGCCCACTTCCGAGATATGCTTCTCTTACTATTCACAAAGGATTCAATGTGAGGCTTCGTGCATAATACCCAGTGATTCGTGAAAGGAGAAAATAATCAATTTAATTGAGGGGGTTGGGTTTACTTTGACTGGTGCACCAGTTTAAGGTTGAGATATGTATTTCCTTTTATGGCATCTTATAAAAAAGTTTTGAACTATWCAAAGGTCTGGAGCCAGCCTTCAATCCTACTGAAACCTTTGTGCGTGACAAGCGAATCTTATCTCGAAAGTGGGCTATTGAATCTGGCATGATCGTAATCTGAATTACATGCATGTAAACGAGAAAGAATTGAGGCTCTACTGTTGTGTCTCCTATCATGGCTGCCATCACGAGATGGTGCTAAGCTTCAATATATAAATCGTAATCTCTACTGCATAATTCTTTAAATTTTAAAATATATTTTTTTGTTACCAGACATCGATGAGTGCACCTCAGGTGTCCATGGATGCAGCGAACATGAGAATTGTACTAACTTTCCTGGAGGATACAAATGTACTTGCAAGAGTGGTTTCTATGGTGATGTCAAAGTATGCATCATTCTTGGTGAGTCGACCATTTTTTTTTTTTTTGATTATACCGGGCTAACGACGGGAAACCCCCGGGATTCACACGGGACAAGAATGAAAGTCCATTCAGCACCCTCCTGTTCTGTCGTATAAATCCAAGCTGTGGTAACACATGCGGAAACCTGTCTTTGAAAATTAAATTAAAGCAAGGGACGATCCATTATTTTGCGAAGGTGACAAAATGAAGGGGGAGGGGGTGGGTGGGTGGAGGGCTTGAAATTGAATAGTGGTCTTTGTCCTGCATCGGAATCCAAGCGAAACTGGCCGCCATCTTGGAAAATTGACACCGCTATGCATTCTGGGATAGGCTTCGGCCCTCCTCTGTAGTGGTCCTAAAAGGGGGTCTTGAAATAATGGGTACGTTGTTGCGGATGGGAAAAAGCATCATTTTTTCTAATTTCTCACCCTACCCCTCCCCCCCAACCAATAAATAAACGCGGTCCCTATGGAAAAATAGAAACCTTAAGCTGCAGGACAGCAACGTGGGCGACAACGTCGGCGAAATTGAGGCGCTTCAACCTTCTATTGTATTATTATTTTGTGTTTACCTAGTATTTTACTCAATAAGCATCCCCGTTTTAGAGTGAAATGACGTCTTTTGGGAGCGCTTTACTTATAACGAAAATCAGCAGAGGCTTTTGGCGTAGCCGTTCTCTTTAGTACGTAAAAATAGGACATTGCACGTCTTACTTTCAGCATAAGACGGCAATGATGCATAGTATTTCGTACATTCCAACGAGTATCTATCGAATAGCGCAATTGTATGTTTGCCGTCGTCGTCGTCGTCGTCGTTGCCGTCCTGCAGCTTCAGGTCCCTAATAATGATGTCAGAACCATTTAGAGAAGGAAAAATTAAGATTGAAGTGGAGTGGAAAGAAACCAAGTAAGAAACAGAAACAAGTAAGCAGTTTAATTGAGAGCCGGGAGAAAATCTTTTCATTCAACGTGTCAGTAGTTAATTGGATGAGTTGTGTGCTAAAAGCATTATAAATGGAGTGGGAATKGGATTGGATTGTGTCGTATACTTAAAGGGTAGGAAGACTCGCAAGCGACTCTCCGTATCATGACTCGTAAAATGAAAACTGAACCATTATAAATACAGACATACATACATACATACAKACAGACAGACAGACAGAAAATATTGGATTTTTTAAAGTATCTTTTGTTAACAGTGTGCGAGGGTGGTGTCTTGAGCATGTCGTGCCCAAATGGGAAGCTTCTTAGTATCAAATGGGCTCTATATGGTCGCTCTTCCAAGGACGTCTGCCTTCATCCTTCCATGACAGTGCCTTGCGGAGACGAAGCCAGTTCGTTAACCAAGGTGAAAGAGCTGTGTGAAGGGAAGCAGTCCTGTTCTTTCACTGCTAATACTGGCACCTTTGGCACTGACCCTTGCGGGGGCTACTACAAGTACACGGAAGTAAAATATTTATGCCAAGCGTCGTAAACGTGCATAAAGGCCCTGTTTCAAGACGCAATTTTACTGCAAGTTGCAGAAAAAGGTGCCATAGACGAGCTTCTGATTTTCGCAACGTTGCAAAGCAAGTTGCAGCGTGTAACACCTATGCCGCGAGCTGGAATGCAATCACTGTCGCAAATAACCAACCAAAGCACAGCTCTTCCCATATCCCCGTTGACAACAGACCAAGAAAGCGTTATCTTGCGTTGCAAGTCGCGAAAAAAGTTTCGCGCGTCTGACATCTCAACTGCTCTCGTTAGCATTGCATTGCAAATTGCAAGAAAAACTGATTCGTGTTACAGGGCCTTAAGGTGATGACTGGTTACTTTTGAACGTTCGATTTGAGCCCACGATAAGCGCTGAATAATCTACACGAATTTTTTGAAGAGCCATACACGTTTTGAACTTCAAGAGGGCAAATCCCTCAAATTTTGCACGGGACTATACTTTTTATAAGCTTATTCGAAAAAAATTCAAAAAATCTACTTAAATTTTCTAGCACACGAAAATATAAATTTCTGTAGGAATTTTTGTTTGACTTAATGGAGAGTTTTCGAGGGCACTGAAAGGACGAAATAGGACAAATCAATGTATTTCTTTGTCTTTTTGTTAAGAATTTCCATGTAATATCGTATAAAAATCACTTGACGGCATTTATGATGTATAGAATCTGTAAAGACGGGTTTTCACTAGCGACATAAGAGACGGAAGCATAAGGATAAGCATAAGCATAAGAATAAACAATAGGAAGCCATTGAATTGTTTATGCAAGAATC